AATTTAGTTTCCATTTTAAGAGGCTACAGTGAAATACTGGATGGACCGTCTAAGTGTCTTTGGGAGCTCTAACCTGATTGATTATCCTTTTAATGGGGAAAGGTCCTACAAATTTTGGTCCTAGTTTCTTAGATGGTTGCAGAGACTTTAAATATTTAGTGGACAGGTAAACCTTTTTCCCCACTTGAAATGGTTTGGGCTCAGTCCTTTTCTTACCTACCTGGAACTTATAAGCTTCCCTAGCCTCATCTAATGCTTTTCTCACAACTGGCCAAGTGTTTTGAAGCTGTGTGATCCATTCCTTCAGGGAGAGGATGGTCGGCTCAGTAGAGGGCAGTTCAGGCATCGGGTTGAAACTTTGTCCTGTCACCAACTGGAACAGAGTGTAGCCAATGCTGGAATGTACAGCATTGTAGTAGTGACTTATGCAAACGGGAGTAGCTCAGTCCAATTGTTTTGTTGGTAATTAATAAAACATCTTAAGTACTGTTCCAGTACTGAGTTTGAACGTTCAGTCCCACTATTTGTTAGTGGATGATGACTAGATGACAGCCCGTGAGTGGTCCCCAAAAGATCTAGGAATGCTTTCCAAAACTCTGAATGAACTGTACCCCCTACCAGATATAATTCATTGTGGGGCTCCATGCAGTCGGTAAATATGTTGCATGAACAGTTTTGCCAGTGTTTTGGCCATGGGGATTTTTTGGCATGGAATGAAATGCACCTGTTTAGAGAATAAATCAGTTACAACCCAAATCACCATGTTTTCCCCACTCTCTGTTAATTCCACAATAAAGTCCATGGAAATCTCCCTTCAGGGTGCCGACAGGGTCCTGGGGTTTTCCCTTGTCCACATTTAGCTGCTGCACATATTGGGCAACTAGCTACATAGCTTTTAATGTCCTTTTTTACTGACGGCCACCAAAATTGCCATTTTACTAAGTGGAGAGTTTTCATGAAACCAAAGTGACCAGCTGATTTGGAATCATGGCAAAGCTGCATGAAGGTTAATCTCTGGCTTTTGGGAATGTAAAGTTTTCCTCCCATCCATGGCAATCCGTCATTCATTGTGCATAGGTTCTTATGGCTTAGAAACCATTCGTCTTTTTCTAATGCATTTCTGAATTCCACCCCGGCTTGGCTTACTAAAGTCTTTGGGCTTTTGCTTGTTCCCTGGTGGGGACTGGTGCTGGCTGTTTTGATGGCATGAGTGGGTCTGTTATCTCTGTCTTGGTGCTATTGAATTGCGGTAGTCTTGATAAGGCATCTGCTAAGAAATTATTTCTGCCTGGTAAATATTTTATGGTGAAATTAAACCAATGGAACTGTTGGGACCATCTAGCCTGCTTAGGAGACAGTTTCCTGGGTGTCTTAAGGGCTTCTAAATTTTTGTGATCAATCCACACCTGGAAAGGGATTTTGTTCACTTCTAGGAAGTGTTGTCAGGTTAGTAGAGCCCATCGAACGGCATAAGCTTCTTTTTCCCAAACCACCCACCTTTGCTCTGTCTCTGTAAGCTTCCTTGAGGTGTACGCACAAGGTTATAACTTCCCTTCATTATTTTCTTGGAGTAGCACTGCCCCCACCACTACGTCACTGGCATCTGCTTGAATCAAAAAAGGTTTCTCTGGATCCAGGTGTTTTAGGACTGGTTCTGCTGAGAATAATCTTTTTAATTTCTCAAAAGTGGCTTGGCATTCCACAGTCCATTTTAATGGATGGATGGGCTTCGGTTTCCCCTCCCCTTTTGTCTTTAGCAGATTTGTGATGGGCAGTGTGATCTGTGCGGGGATGAATTGGTGATAAAAGTTTGCAAACCCTAGGAAGCTTTGCAATTGCCTTCAGGTGTGGGGCGAAGCCCATTCTACTGCAGCCCGAACTTTTTCGTGGTCCATCTCTATGCCATTCAATGATATGCAGTACCCAAGATAATCGATTCTGCCCTTATGGAACTTGCACTTGGATAATTGCATACAGGTGGGCTGCCCACAACTTGGTCAGTTCTGCTCTGACCAATTTCACATGCTCCTCCTTTATTTCTGTGATTATAAGGATATTGTCCAAGTAGACAAGCACCCCTTTATAGAGGTGCTCCTGGAGCACTTCATTTATCAATTGCATTAATACTGCTGGTGCTCCCTGGAGCCCAAATGTCAGGACTTTAAATTAGAAACAACCTAAGGGGCAATTGAATGCTGTTTTCCACTCATCCCCCTCTTTAATTCTAACTTGGTAATATGTTTGTCTCAAGTCAAATTTTGAAAAAATCTTTCCTTTCACCAAATGTGCCAACATGCCCATCAGAGGGAGGGGGTAGAGATTACTCTCAACTTACTGCCTTGAGTGATCTATAATCCACACAGAGATGAAGAGATCCATCTTTTTTCTCGCGGAAAACCACAGGGGCCATGGTTTTTTGTTTCGCTGGTTGGATAAAGGCCCTTGCTAGATTCTTCTCTATAAATGTCTCCAATTCCTCTAACTCCCTCAGGGTCATGGAGTATAATTTTTGTTGGTTGGTGACTACCCCATTTGAGGGTCACCTTCCTCGCCTTTCACTCACAATCCTCCTCCTTCCCAATGCCCAATGCCCATTGACCACCTTGGCTTGTCTCGGCTCTTGGTGACCATGACTTTGAGCTGGAGGAATGTGAGCTGCATCCACTTGGGCCAAACTGGAGGGGAATTCCCCCCCCCCCGTGGCAGCCTATTCCTTCTCTGTTTCCGACATTGTTTGTGTGGTCCCTGTGGTAAGGGTCTTCTATCTGGGCTGACTGAGTTCTGCAGATCCTGCCTAATGTAAGGACCCGCTTCAAAACCCCTTCCTAAGAAAGCAGAACTCTTGGAACAGAATCATCCCAAAAGGAACTTTTATTAAGAGAAGTTGACAGCAGGCATAAAAGGCAGGATCTGAGGGTTTCCCACTTAAATCAATAGGTTAAAGGAGCAAAAAGCAAACCGGTCATCCGGTCAGTTCAAACGAGCCAATCCTCAGGTGTTAGGTCCGTGGTGGGAATGGGGCTGATAAGACTCTGTTCCCAAGGCTGTGAAAACATTGTTGGGTCTTCGCACCTCTCCTTCCACAGCGAGAGATAAGACAGATTCTGGAGGCACATTCCTTTCTCACCCCAGGCTGGTATCAAGGGAAGATAGTTCAAAGAGCAAGCAATAGAGAAAGCAGAAAGGATACATTGTAACGACAAAGTGCAAGAAAGAATAAACATGAAAACCCCAAAGCTTCCCTCCCCCCCCAAGAGTATGACAGAACCCACAGAAAGGAAAGAATAGAAGCAATTCCCCCTCAGCAAAGAGACGGGTTCTGACAGGATTGCTTTGTGCTTCATCCAGGACCTTCAGATTCTGCCTGCCTTTTCTGCATCCACTTTCTTTCAGTAAAAATTCTTTGATTAACCTCAGTGAAGTCAAGAGTTTTACTTTCCTGAGGGACCAGCTGGGGCAGGTCTTTATACTAACATTCAATAAAATGGATTGGATTGGATTGGATTGGATTGGATTGGATGATTAGATTAGATTAGATTAGATTGGATTCCATGTTTGCCCGAAAATAAGACCTGGTCTTATATATATTTTTTGCACCAAAAATGCATTAGGGCTTATTTCCAGGGAATGTCTTCTTTTGGGGAGGGTGGAGCTGCTCCACACGTCCTGCACCTGCTTCAGGGCCCTTGCACCCAGCCCACTCCCCACTCGGTGACCTCCCCCCGCCAGTTCAATGACCCAGTTGCTCACCCGTCTCTTCTTTTTCACTCCCCTCCCAAGCTGGAATGCCATGCTACAAAGGATGGGCCTTAGCTGGTCCCCCTCTGCCATTTTGGAGATGGGGGAGTGACGGCAAAAGACTCTGCCACCGCTGCAAAACAGCTACATCTGCCACTTGAAGGTCTTTCTTTGGTCCCTACCACCCCCACTTCACACATCACTTGCCTGGTGGTAGCTGCCTCCTCCTCCTCCAACTCTCCTGTGGCTTGCACTGTAACTGGGAGGCACAAGCCTCCCCTGCCGCCTCCCTGTGTCAGCTCTGGTACCCCTCCGTCAGCCCTCTGTCACCACCACTGCAGTTTCTTGCACACTTTCTTGCTGTCCTGCATCAGTCCACATCTCTCTTCTCCATTGTAGAAACGGCAGCCCCATTTTCTGCTGCTTTCCTCCTGGCAGAAGGGAGGAAAGGAAGGATGCTTCATATGGAAGGATGCTAAGCTTCAGGAAATCTATGCAAGCTGGAGCTGGGTGAGGAAGGACAGGCTCCCCATTCCTGATGGTTCTGCAAAGCCCTTGAGCAGATCCACTTCCTGCATGGGCGCTGGCAGGATGGCAAGAAAGTGTGGTGGCAGCAATGGAGGGCTACTAGGGGTGATGGAGGGAGGTGGCAGGGGAGGCTTGCGCCCCCCGGTCACAGCACAACCCATAGGAGAGTTGGAGGAGGAGGAGGCTGCTGCTGGGCAGGTGATCTGCAGGGGGAAAGGGGGGATGGCAGGCACCGAAGAAAGCCCCTCCAGTGGCAGACTCGGAATATTGTCTCCAGTTCTGATTACCACAATACAAAAAAGTTGCTGAGACTCTAGAAAGAGTACAGAGAGGAGCAACAAAGATGATAAGGGTTTAGAGGATAAACCATATAATGAATGGTTATAGGAAGGAGGTATGTCTGGTCTAATGAAGAGAAGGACGGGTGACTTGTTAGCAGTCTTCTAATATTTGAGAAGCTGTCACAGAGAAGAGGGAGTTGATCTGTTCTCCAAAGCACCTGAGGGTAGGACAAGAAGTAACAGGTGGAAGATCATTAACAAGAAATCCAACCTAGAACTAAGGAGAAATTTCCTGACAATGAGAACAATTAATCAGGTTAGATTAGAAGACTTCCAAAGTCCTTTCCAACCCCTGTTATCCTATTTTCTATGTATTTATATATGGAATATATATTATGTATGGAAAGGATTCTGTAGAAGATAATGAAAATGCCTGTTTTATTTTCTGCCTAGAGAGATGCCTGGAAGATCATGAACTGATTATTCAAGTTGAGTCTACCATGGGAAATGAAAGTAAATTTTTATTCAGGAAGAACTATGCAAAATATGAATTCTTTAAGAATCCTGTGGTAAGCATTCTATAATTTTCCTTTATGTAATCACAATTTGTCAACCTGAAAAGATTTGCTTTTTTTTGGTAAACTGTACAGTATCAACTCTTATAAATATCATGGCACCAATATGAAATAATTGTACTATGTATGATTGGAACAATTTCCAGTAGAAAACAATATAACAATTCTTTTTTACTTTATGGAAAGATAATTATTTCCTATTTTTTTGCAGAAACCTTTTGCCTTCAATTGATATTTATCTATAAGCCAGTCTTGCCAACAAGTATCCATTTGGGGAAGAGGTCATTACTATTTTGTGGAGCTGTATACTCTTAGTGGTAGATTGTACATCTTGACATTCCTATTTGAGTTTAGTTAATAATAACTAAATAATAACTTAAAGAACCTTAGCAATTAGAACATACAGTATGAGAGACAGCTATACAAGAAACTTAGATATTTGCACTAGACATCTAAGAATGGGCAGTACAGTTCTTTTTTAATTATATGGTTGTTCATAGTGATTGATGTGTCTGTTAAAAGATACAGTAAAATTTCCCTTAATAAAATGAAAAGAAAATTACCCAGTATTTTATTATTGTATTTCAAAAGTGGAAAGCAAATTGACTATATCTGTATCTTAATCATTCCATTTGCATATGGTTACAGTATCTGTTGTAGATTGAAAAGATACATATTATGTGATACATTTTGTTAGCTGCCTTCAGTGTTTATTAGAACACAATGGCAAAGTATATATCAAATAATAAAAACAACTCAGCAAAAGTGTACTCAGACTTTTAATACATAGAATTGTGTGCTAAATTAGTTAGATGTATGTTAACAGCAAGTTATTACCATAGATATTTCTGATTCTCTCGTCTCCAGAATTTTTTTCCAGAACAGATGATTGCTTGGTGTCAGAAATCAAATGGTTGTATTCCACAGTCACAGCTTTTACAGGTAAGCTTTTAAAGGAATGTAGTTGCCTTCCAAATTGAGCAAAGGAGATAATAAATGGTACATAACAGAATAGATTGGACAAAAGAAGGAATATGATTGGACAAAAAAAGGAATATGTTAAGACCAGACAAGCACTGAACTAGCATAGTGTTGAGTTTAAGTTGAAATACCTTTTTGAATTCTGGTTAGAATGCAATGTGTGACCAAATATTATTTTCCTTTCAGAAAATACAAGGAAAAACAGATTTGATTCTTCTAAACACCAATAAAAACAGTAATTGTTAACGATAGCTAAATAGAATTGACAGATCTCTTTGACATTCAGAATGAAAAGTAAACTGAAAAAGAAGGCTGAGTTAGTGACCCTTCCCCCCCAAAAAAGTATCTTATATGCAGTGTGGTAATATTACTACATTCTGATAAGTTTCTGCTCTCTCTCTATTTTTTATTCATTCAAACAATTCTATGTCAAAATGCCACAATTCAGATATATTTTCAGGAGAGAAAAAAGGCTTTGTGATGTTCTGGTGAAGGATTTGCCTGGTGTAGTATTTCTGTTGTTTCCTAGGGTCTGACTGATTACTGAAGGTTTCAATTTAATTATAGTCTTCGAGGAGGCTCCTTCCATGTTTCCGGTTCAAATCACGTGACGCTAGTTAGTGTTATACATCTCTATTTGTACCAACTGTATTTGTACCAGCTATAAATTTTAAATTGTCTTCAAGAGCAGCCTTGCATAAAACAAATTGCATTAATCTAGCTATAAAATAATATGTGCAAGAATTGGCTAGAAACAGAGGCAATTTTGTATATCATTGAATCAGGGTGAAACCTTTCCTGGCAATGAACCTTCTTCATCAGGAATAGTGCCATCTCATTCAAAATAAAGCAGGATATATCCATTGGAAAAAAGAGTAAAAGCAAAAATTTGTTGTTAATGAGATGTTACTCTTTTCTCTAAGGCAGGGGTCCCTGACCCCTGATCCATGGCATGGCAGAAACCAGACCCCAAAAACAAGCGAAGCCCCATCTGTGGGATATAGGCAGTATGTGAAACCACACACCTTCTGGTCCATGGAACATCCTCTCTCCATGGAACCAGTACCTGGTACCGAAAAGGTTGGAGGCTGCTGCTCTAAAGCTTTGCAAAGAAGTATAAACTACATGTCAGCTAATAAAATTTACATTATGTGTAATGTGTCCAACACCTTAAAGCCACAGGACATAAAATTGACTTTAAAAAGACCAGAACTATTGCCAAAACTGAACACTTTAACAACAGAATAATCAGAGAAGCCATCGAGATAGAAAAACGCCCACACAGCATGAATAAACGAGATGATACCTCCCACCTACCAGCCATTTGGAAACCCACCCTTATTGGCAAACGAGTCCCTAACACAAAGAATGACACCAGACCCACACTCACGAAAACCACACAGGAGGTCACCACCACACATCCACACAAAAAGCAAACCCAAACCCACACAGATGATGAGGCACGACCACAAACTAGAAGCCAGTCCACAGCTGCATCATTAGCCACTTTAAACCCCTCCAATCCATACATGAAGCNGCTCCCACCCAATCAGTTCAAACCCCACTGGCAGTTAAAAGGAAGAAACAGCTGTGATCACACATTACTCCTAGAAGCACGAAGCTGAAGACACCAGCCTGAAGATGACGAATGGGACTTCGTCGAAACGTCGCCAAGACACCAGGAGGTTAAAAAATTACAAAAGTTTATTACTATTAAAACATTAAAACACCTAGCTTCTGCCGGCTTCGTCAGGGTGACTAGCCATCAGTGGGGTAGCTGTTTTTATAGGAGCGGTGCCTTTTGCACCCGGCTCCTAGATCTCGTGACCGGGCCCCGATAATCCTCTTGCGTTAAGCTCTTAGTCGTTCTTCCGCATACTGCTACGCTCCTAACCTTCTCTTTCCCACCCCTTTTCTTTTCTTGCCTTATTTGCTCATCAGGGGAGGGGGGAGGAGGCATCCCTCCATACAGGGCATCGTTTTGCTGTTTGCTACCTCCTTTCCTCTTTCCAGTTACCTGCAATCTCACCTTCTTCCTCTCTTCCTTCTTTCCCATTGTACTATCTAACTCATTTACCACTCGTACTCCCACCACTCTCATCACTCCCTCCTTCTCATCCTCCTCGTGCCCACTCCTCCCCTTTTCATTAACCCTCTCCTGTTGTTCCTCTGGCGTGGGGATATTCCCTCCTACATGGTTCCTACCTGGGCTCCTGCTGCGCGTTAACGAGCCCAGCTGTTCCTGCCGTATCATGGGCAAGGCGCCTACATCAGCATGGGGAAGGGAGGAAGAGAGGAACTCATGCATTGCGGATAGATGAAATGAAGGGGGTTCCCCCTACTCTGAGGGTGGGTGCGGAGAATATCTGCTACAGAAAGCGCAAGACACTCAAGGAGATCCCCCATGCTGACGTAGGCGCCTTGCCCATGATACGGCAGGAACAGCTGGGCCCGTTAATGTGCAGCAGGAGCCAGATGCAGGCTGCTAACGCTATATAAAGGCTTCTTCCAGACTGCTGTTTTAAGGCCCTGATGATGTCAGAGGATTCTGATGAAAGCTTGGCCCATTAAAATTTTAGATTTTGTTATATTCCTCTTGGTGCTCGGTTTTTATTGTTTTTATCATACACACACACACACACACACACACACAAATAATTAAATATTTCCTGTAGTATATATGTTTAATACCCATCCTCCCTATTTTTTGTGTCTTTGAATCAGTCTTGACTCCTGGCATCCACTTTTAGTTTTAGTTTTGGAGTGGTTTGCTATTGCCTCCCTTTCAAGGCTATGAGAGAGAATGACTGGCACAAGGTTACCAGCTGAATTGGTGCCTATGGCAGGATTAGAACTCATACTTTCCCAATTTTTAGCTTCATGCCTTAACCACCATATCAAATTGACTCTCTCTGGTGTGTGTGTGTGTGTGTGAGTGTGTGTGTGTGTGTATACGCATGTGCACAAGCACACACGCTCAATCGTGTCCAGTTCTTGGAGATTGTCTGGTAATTCCCTGCACATTTTTCCCAAGTTTGTCAGAGGTGATTTGCCATTACCTCCTTCTTATGGTTGAGAAAAGTAACTGGCCCAAGGTCGCCCAGCTGGCTTTATGCCCAAGGTGGAATTAGAACTCATGATCTTTCAGTTTCTAATTAGATGCCTTATCATTACATCAAACTGGTTCTCAGTAACCCTATGGAAATGTTAGTATGAGACTATTCAACATCTCATATACAGGTATTTTTTTTAACCCTAGCAAAGTTCAGTTTTTTCAAGTCTGGTTCTGCCAAGATATATTGGGCTGGAATTCTCAGAATTTCTTGCCAGTTTGATTTGTGTATTAGATGTTTTGGAGATTAAATGTTAATATCTATAGATACCAGGCTGGGGAAGCTAATGATGTATGAACAGTGCATCTCTTGTCAACATGTTTGTTGCTTTGTTTTTAAACAAAAATGACTAGGAGGTGTGATCAGCATAGATTATATAGATTTGCTTATTGTAGAATAGCAACTTGCTACTATTGTCCCCATTATAGGGGGTTATGTCATTGGCCATCTCTGGAATGCCTCTATACTTACAACCAAAATAGCTTCCGATTATAATATAGTGATTTTATTAACAGTAGATTTTAGAATTATTCATTATATGATAATATTTTCCTAGAGAAATAAATTGGAAAATCTCTTCTCTGTTGAAGTGTCTGGTTGTCATGTTAAGGTGGCACAATTTTTTTAAAAAAAATTTAGCACAAATATTTGCATTCATACAATAACCATTAGTAAGTAATATCTCTTGCATGTACCTCTTTCTTTATAATTGTAGAATTCAACATTTCCCTTTATCTTCAACAGAAATTTTTAAATTCAAATAGTTGTCCAGAAATTCAGGGGTTTTTACATGTGAAAGAATTGGGAAGAAAATCATGGAAGAAGCTGTATGGTTGTCTGAGGAAATCTGGACTTTATTGCTCTACAAAAGGGTCATCAAAGGTACTTATTAGTTAGACTAGTTTAAGAAGATAACCAATAGACCTTGTCAGTAATATGTTGGACTGTAAATTTCAATTACTCTGTGCTCTGGATTTCATTGTAAGCTTAGTTTTGGTGCAAAACTTAATGCCAGTAAAGGGCTTCTTAAGGTTTTAGATTAGATCCTTCTAATGAGTTGTGATCTTTGTCATTATAGTGTTGGGTATCATCACTGAGTTATAGCTTCACATGAAAAACTTTGTGGCTGATCATCAGTATTGTCTTCCCCTTTGCACAAGAAAATAGCAGTGTCTCTTCTCTGAGCATTCTCAGCTGCAATTTTAAAAAAATATCTTCACAAAATGAATGCCCAGATGACCAATTCCAAATATTTAAAAGCTTCATATATTCTTTATGATTACATCAGATAGTGTATATTCCATTTTGGATGCTGGGCAATATGCATATTTGTCTTTTCATGTGTAGTCAGAAACTTTTTTTCAAGATGGCGGCCACAGAGGAAACATGGTTACATCGTGGGGAGAGAAGTTGCTATTAAACTAAGTTGTCTTAAACTAAGACAAAATGGTAGGAAGAGAGGTGGAGAGGGAAAGATAAGTCAGAAAAATAAAAAAAGACTGGAGAAGAGAAAAGGAGAAGAAAGATCTGTGGAGCAGTGAAGAGAATCAGCTGTGGGGTGGAGAGGAGAGCCGACTGAGGGCAGCACAATGACCGGCAAAGAGGAGAAAGAAGTGAGCCAGCAAGATAGTGGAGCAGGAAGGAGAGCTTACTGTGGACCATTCAGACAGCCCTGTTTGCTGGAGGAAGCAGAACACTGGCGTGACAGATTAGCAAACAGTAGCCACATGGCTGCAGAGCTATCAGTGGGGTGATGGAACATTGCAACACAGCAGACCAGTAGACTGGGTAGTGTGAATGGCAGCAAACCAGTAGACCGGATAGTGCAAATGCCAGTAGATCGGGTAGAATGAATGGCAACAGACCAGAAGACTGGGTACTGTGAAGAGCAGTAGACCAGTAGACCTGGTAGTGCGAACACCAGCAGGCCAGCAGACCGGGTAGAGTGAACGGCAACAGACTAGGTATGGCAGTAGACCAGGTAGTACAAAGGCCAGCAGACCAGTAGACTGAGTAAAGTGAACTGCAACAGACCAGGAGACCAGGTACTGTGAACAACAGTAGACCGGGTAGAGTGAACAGCAACAGACCAGAAGACCAGGTACTGCAAACGGTAGTAGACCGGGTAGTGCGCAGACCAGTAAACTGGGTAGAGCGACCCGCAATAGACCAGGAGACTGGGTACTGTGAACGGCAGTAGACTGGATAGTGCGAACACGAGCAGACCAGTAGACCGTGTAGAGGGAACAGCAACAGACCAGAAGACCAGGTACTGCAAACAGCAGTAGACCAGGTAGTGCGAACGGTAGCAGACCAGTAGACCGGGTAGTGCAAATGCCATCAGACCAGTAGACCGGGTAGTACGAATGGCAATAGACTAGAAGACCGGGTACTGCGAACGGCAGTAGACCAGGTAGTATGAAAGGCAACAGACCAGAAGACAGGATACTGCAAATGGCAGTAGATCAGGTAGTGCGAAGACCAGTAGACTGGGTAGTGCGAACGGCAGCAGATCAGTAGACCAGGTACTGTGAATGGCAGTAGACCAGGTAGTGTGACTAATAGACTGGGTACTTTGAATGGCAGTAGACTGGATACTGTGAACAGCAGCAGACCAGAAGACCAGGTACTGCGAACGGCTATAGACCGAGTAGTGCAAATGTCAGCAGACCAGTAGACCAGGTGCTGCAAAGGACAGCAGACCAATAGACCAGGTACTGTGAATGGCGACCGTACAGCACAGCAGACTCATGGAAAAAGAAACTGATGCTATTGTGATCTGCAAAACATAGGACAGAAAAATAATAGGCATAATTACCTAGAGCAGAGAAGGTAGAAACAAGGCTAACAGCAAAGCACATTCACTAACCAAAAAGAGGGGTTTTCAAACAACAAACATATAGAAGAGGCAACTGATACTAAACAAAGAAAAGGATAAATAAAACTAATATGCTAGTAAGAAGGTTAAATAAATAACAAGGTAGAAACACGAGCACAAACAGGCAGAAAAAAGAATAGGGAAAAAAAAGAATAGGAAAAAAATTACCTAGAACAAAGAAGGAAGAAACAAGGTTAACAACAAAGCACATCCACCAACCAAAAAAAGGAGTTTTCAAACTCATGGAAGAGGTGACTGATACTATTGTGGTATGCAATACATGTATGTGCTTATGCCCCCAAAACACCCAAATTATACATGCATTAAATGTAAATTATGTGAAGTACTAGAGGAAAAAGTAAGGGATCTAGAAGCAACTTTAGCCAATTCCAACCTACGCAAGAAAGCTATACCCAAATCGAACCAAATAATGAACAAATAACTCCCAAAGAATTTGACCATATTGATAAACCCTTGGAGGAAGACAAATGGAAGTATGTCACACATAGAAGGAAACGCAGTAATCAAAGGCAGAAGCAGCATAGGTCTAACAAACCCCTACTGCCCAATTTAACCAAACCAGAAGTAGCTCCATTAAAACTGAGCAGTCGATTTCTCCCCCTAGATGGAAATACACAGATCCACAACCTCCCCCTCAAAGAAAACATGCAGATACCTAGCAAAGAATCAGCACCAAATATCCCTTAAAAAGTCACATCAACAAACACACCTGAGATAAACAGAAAAGCACCTCAGACTGCACCCTGCCAAAAAGGAAGGAGAGTGTTAGTGATAAGAGATTCTATTCTCAAAGGAACAGAGTCAGCCATTTGCAGACTGGACCTATGTGGTCTCCTGGAGCAAAAATCAAAGACGTGGTTGAGAACCTAACCAAAATAATTAGGCCCACAGATTACTATCCTCTCCTACTCCTTCACATTGGGACGAATGACACAACAAAACCTGAGCACAATATTGAGAGACTATAAGCTACTGGGCAATAAAGTTAAGGAGCTAGGGACACAAGTAGTGTTCTCATCAGCACTCCCAACAAAAGCCCAACATCCATTGAGGGAAAAAAGAATTTTAGAAATAAACAACTGGCTAAAGGGTTGGTGTCGCCAAGAAAACTTTGGTTTCCTGGATCATGGACTGCATTTCCTATGCAAAGGACTCTTGGCAAGGGATGGGCTGCACCTCACTAAAACAGGGAAAAATGTACTTGGAAAAAGACTGGCCCAACTCATTAGAAGGGATTTAAACTAAAATTGAGGGGGAAGGGTGACCCATCTTTAGAATCTCTAGAACACAAAACCAATCATGAATCCCAAGAAAACAAATCAAACAATGAGGTAGGGAAAATCTCAAACAGCAATCAGGAGATCCAGGAAACATCCCACAGATAGGCATAAAAGTCTTAAATGTTTATATACTAATGCTCAAAACTTGGGGAACAAACAGGGTGAACTAGAAGCAATAGTACATGAGGGTAGGTATGACATAGTTGGCATTACAGGAACCTAGTGGGATGAAACCAATGACTGGAATGGACAGATAAATGGATACTTGTTCAAAAGAAACAGAACTACAAAAAGAGGAGGGGGAGTTGCACTATATGTAAGAGAATACTACATATCAACAGAAATGCATAAAAGCCCCTGAGAATGTATATGGTCAATATAAAAGGGGGGAAAATGACATTGCCATAGGTGTATACTACAGGCCACCCAACCAATCAGAAGAAATAGATGAACTCTTTACCAACCAGTTAACAAATGTATGTAGGAAGCATACCACAGTAGTAATGGGAGACTTCAACTACCCAGATATCAGGTGGGAGACAAACTCTGCAGCGAGCAGGAGATCAAACAGATTTCTAACCAACTTAGCTGACAACTTTCCAAAAGGTGGAGGAGGGAACTAGAAGTAAAGCTATACTGGACCTAATTCTTACTAATAAGATGGTTGAGGGAGTTGGTTGTCAGAACCTTGGGGGGAAAGTGACCACGTCATACTGGAATTCAATATAATGCAAACACAAACAATAGAAAATAATTCAACCAGTGTCTTAAATTTCAAAATAGCCAATTTTAACAAATTCAGAGAGAACCTAGAAAAGATTCCATGAATGAAAATCCTAAAGAGGAAAAGAATTCAAGAAGCATGGGAAACTCTGAAAAAAGCTATCATAAAAGCCCAGTCCAGCACAATAAAAAAGAAAAACAAGAAAGTCAAGAAGAAACCAGCATGGCTGCATAAATGTCTCTCAGACAAACTGAAAGATAAAAAGGATAAGTACAAAACATGGAAAGAGGGACACATAACTAAGGCTGATTATCAGCAGACAGCCAGAACATGCAAAGACAAAGTCAGGAAAGCAAAGGCTCAGAATGAACAAAGACTTGGAACAGAAATCAAGGACAATCAAAAAAGTTTCTTTCAGTCCTAGTGGACAATCACTTAAATATGAGCCAGCAGTGTGCTGCAGCTGCCAAAAAAGCCAACACAGTGCTGGGCTGCATTAACAGAGGGATAGAATCAAGATCACGTGAAGTATTAATACCACTTTACAATGCCTTGGTAAGGCCACACTTGGAATACTGCATCCAGTTTTGGTCACTATGATGTAAAAAAGATGCTGAAACTCTAGAAAGAGTACAGAGAAGAGCAACAAAGATGATTAGGGGACTGGAGGCTAAAACATATAAGGAACGGTTGCTGGAATTGGGTATGTCTAGTTTAATGAAGAGAAGGACGAGGGGGGACATGATAGCAGTGTTCCAATATCTCAGGGGCTGCCACAAAGAAGAGGGAGTCAAGCTATTCTCCAAAGCGCCTGAAGGCAGGACAAGAAGCAATGGATGGAAACTAATCAAGGAGAGAAGCAACCTAGAACTAAGGAGAAACTTCCTGACAGAACAATTAACCAATGGAACAACTTGCTTCCAGAAGCGGTGAATGCTCCAACACTGGAAGTTTTTAAGAAGAGACTGGACAGCCATTTGTCCGAAATGGTATAGGGTTTCCTGCCTGAGCAGGGGTTTGGACTCGATGACCTCCAAAGTCCCTTCCAACTTTTTTTTAAAATAATAATAATAATAATAATAATAATAATAATAATAATAATAATAATTAACATATTAATAACAAGAAAAAAGTCAAGGAAACTTGATTCTTTCTCTCTTTAGTAGGTCCACTAAAGAGAGAAGATAGCAAGGAAGTAACAGGCAACAGGGAGAAAGCAGAGCTGCTTAACTCATTCTTTGCATCAGTCTTCATACAAAAAGAAATGGTAGCACAACATACAAAAAAAAACCTACTGCAAAAGACAAACTAGAAACAAAAATTAAAATAAGCAAGAAAATGGTAAGAGAAAACCTATCTGACCTTGACGAATATAAATCTGACAGATTACATCCCAGAGTTCTGAAGGAGCTTGCAGATGTTATTCCAGAACCATTGCACCACATCTTTCAAAAATCCTGGAGCACCAAGGAAGTACCTGAGGATTGGAAAAGGGCTGATGTGGTTCCCATCTTCAAGAAAGGGGGGGAAAACACCCAGGAAACTACAGATCCATCAGTTTAACATCAATACCTGGGAAGATCCTGGAAAAGATAAGACAAAAACAGATCTGTGAACAACTAGAAGCAAACAAAGTTATAACTGGTAGCCAGCACAGGTTTGTCAAAAACAGATCATGCCAAACCAATCTTATTACATTCTTTGATAAAGTGACCAAATTAGTAAACCAGCAAAATGCTGTGGACATAGTATACTTAGATTTCAGTAAGGCATTTGACTAAATAGACCACAATCTACTGCTTCGTAAGCAAAAAAAAAAAAGGTGGAATAGACAACATCACCACCAGATGGATTTGTAGCTGGCTGACAAACTGTATTCAACAAGTAGTCCTCAATGGTACTACATCCACCTAGAGAGAAGTAAGCAGTGGGGTACCACAAAGCTCCGTCTTAGGCCCAACACCATTCAATATCTTCATTAATGACCTAGATAACAAATAGAAGGGGAACTCATCAAATTTGCAGATGACACTAAACTGGCAGGAATAGCCAACACCCCAGAAGACAAACTCAGGATCTAAAAAAATCTTGACAAACTTGAACAATGGGCCCTATCCATGAAAATGAGTTTCAATGTGGAGGAAAGCAAAGTTTTACATTTAGGCAGAAAAACTAAAGGTTTAAGTACAGATTAGGGGAGACCTGGCTCAAAAACAGTAACTGTGAGAGGGACCTTGGAGTCCTAGTGGACAATCACTTGGCTATGAGCCAGCAGTGTGCAGCAGCAGCAGCCAAAGAAGCAAAAACAATCCTGGATTGTATAAACAGAGGCATAGAATCAAGATCATGTGAAGTATTAGTACTGCTTTATAAAACCTTAGTGAGACCACACCTGGAATACTGCAACCAATTTTGGTCACCATGCTATTAAAAAGATGTTGAGACTTTGGAAAAAATGCAGAGAAGAGCAAGTAAGCTGATCAAAGGCCTGGAGACTAAAACATATGAAGAATGGCTTCAGGACTTGGGTTCAGCTAGTGTAAAGAAAAGAAGAAATAGGGGTGATGTGATAGCAGTATTCCAGAGGCTGCCACAAACAACAGGGGATCAAATTATTCTCCAGAGCACCAGAGGGCAGGACACGAAACAATGGTTGGAAGTTGATCAAAGAGAGAAGCAACCTGAAATTAAGGAGAAACTTCCTAACAATGAGGACAATTAACCAGTGGAACAGCTTGCTCTCAGATGTTGTGGGCACTCCATCACTGGAAGTTTTTAAGAAGAGACTGGACAGCTACTTGTCTGAGATGGTATAGGTTCTTCTGCTTGAGCAGGGGGCTGGACTAGAAGACTTCGAAGGTCCCTTCCAGATTCTATTCTACTGTACTGTACTGTACTGTACTGTACTGTACTCTACTCTACTCTACTCTACTCTACTCTACTCTACTCTATTTCACTGCTCAGTAGGAGGTGAGAATTGAAGGGATCTCCCCAGACTCCCTAGGGCAGGGGTGGGCAACCTTGGCTCTTTTATGACTCGTGGACTTCAACTGCCAGTATTCTTGAGCCAGCATGGCTGGCTCAGGAATTCTGGGAGTTGAAGTCCATGAGTCATAAAAGAGCCAAGGTTGCCTATCCCTGCCCTAGTGTAATTGAAACAATCACCACTAGGTTGTGATATAGTGGCACAGAGAGAAGTTTATTTGTTAGTTGGATTAGTAAAATCTAAATTTGTCTGTCTGGTTTAATATAATTATAAAATAGAAGAAGCATTAACAGTGAGACAAATTAAATATCCCAAATATATTACAAAGATATATTGATATAAAACTGTTGAATGTAAAAATAGAGAATGCTGACCAATTGTGGTGGCCTCCAGTTTTCTCCATAATTTATCCCTGGGACTGAGTTCAAAGTTCTACATAGAAATCTCCAAGGATACGTTTAACTTTTGTAAGATAATTCACTATTCTGCCTGGTACTCCATTATTTCCTATTTAATCCAAATTTGTCAGTTTCTTGAATAAATATCTTACTAGGCAATGGCTAGCTTACTTATAGAGACCAAAAGCTAGAGTCATCTTTAATCCTATAGATGATTCTGCCTTTGTGGATCAATAAAGCTGCTCTTTTAAACAATTCAGTCAATAAATGGTCCCTTCTCTGGCTTCCCTACTATGCAAACAAATTTGCTATGTCAGAAAGACTAAAAGTAGAATCAAGTTCAACATCAAACAACTTGCCTCCTGGAGTTGTGGGTGCTCCATCACTGGAGGTCTTCAAGAAAAGAGGTATTTGTTAGGATGGAATAAGAATTCCTGCTTTGGGACTAGAAGTCCTCCGAGGTCCTTTTCAACCATATGATTCTATGATTCAAAATAGGCTTGGAAGTTATTTAAAGAAATAGGTTTATCAGAGCAAAACAGCATGGAAATACAAAGTATCTACAGAAATATGCAGAGCAAACCCATAAGATCTGAAATATAATTAAACTGATTTTGCCATTGTCTTTTTATTAAAAAATGAGCATTTTGTAATGAAGCTTACCTTCCTCCCATTTACCATTACTTTGAAGTCACCCCTGAAACCTCAAACCTGTAGAGGAGCAGGACAATGAAGTCGTGAAGTGATCTAAAAAGTTAATCAGAAAAAAGTGTTCCTAAATATAAATTGAGGTTATGAGGAATTAGTCAATTTTTAAAAGCATTTGATAGGAATTTTAACATTTGATATAGAAGAAATGCTAAGTCTTTAAACACATACCAGTTTTTTGAATATATGGAAGATAGCATTACTAGTTTATTGCTGCTAGAGGTAACAACTAAGAAATATTTAGTGTCCTTTTATTGCCCTTTTGTGGTTCTTCTTTATATTTTCAGATAATATAAAATAATGGTTTAACACTTTTCTTTAATTATTGCAACTCTTTCCCCAGGAACCAAGACACCTGCAATTGCTAGCTGATCTTGAAGACAGCAATATATTTTCATTAATAGCATGCAAAAAAATGTACAATGCACCAACCGACTATGGCTTTTGTATAAAGGTAATGGCTTTAAATATTACAAGATTTGTGGTTCATGGTGTTAAATTTTACAGATTTTTATATTACTTTTAAAATTATTGTGATTTCAATTTTATGCTAAATTCTATCCTAGATAAAGAAAAATTATTCAAAATTGACTCTTCTCAAATGGTATGGCAGGCAGTTATTAGCTACCAAACCGGCGTAATATTAATGGAGAGCATAGAGGTCCTCATTTCACAGTTTTACCAAAGCAGTAAATTCATTAGATGCCTTCCATTATCTATTGTACTTTCAGACTTTGCCTGGATTTTTTCAAAAAGGAGATAAAGCTTATATATCTATTCAGACATTTCTCAGTTTATATGAACACTCTGAAATGTTCTACAATATAACAAATGCTTAGGATTTGTATATTACACTTAAACTGTAAATTAATTTCATAGATGAAAGACAGAATTAATATTTTGTTGTTTGTTCTGTAGCCCAACAGAGTAAGAAATGAAACTAAAGAATTAAGATTACTGTGTGCTGAGGATGAACAAAGCAGAACATGTTGGATGACTGCCTTTAGACTGCTCAAGGTACTGGTTAACCATGGGGTAGTTCATATTTCTGGTAGTCTGTGTGTGCGATTTGAGGTCCTGCATTCATCTTTCATATGGACTCAGGCACAGTTAAGATCTTTTTAAGAAACCATTTTATTTATTTGTTTTCAGGACACACAGTACTTCAAGAAATAAATAGATATCCACATATAGGAAATAGAGTGTAGGTATAATAATGAAGCAGAGATAGGATTTGGCAAGAATTAGAAGGAACAAAGTTAACCTTGGAACCATTTTAAAACCAAGTTCTAGAAAACACAACTTATACCAGTGATGGCGAACCTTTTAGAGATCGAGTGCCCAAACTGCAACCCAAAACCCACTTATGTATTGTCGGGTGCCCATTGGGTGGGTGTGGCCCATTGGGTGGGCGTGGCTGCAGTGGTAACGGCAGACTGGGGGGGACTAAAAAGTTCAATCAATCAATTCCAACTTTGCGAGATCTTTTTTTTTCCCGCGAGAAGTTGAAATTGATTGATTGAACCTTTTTTTTTTTTTTGCACACGGTGGCAGAGGCCTAAAGCGAAAAGTTTTTATAAAACCCAGCTGAAGACCTAGGACTGGGGTGACGGTGCGCGTGCCCACAGAGAGGGCTCTGCGCGTGTGCCACAGGTTCGCCACCACGGACTTATACACTGCAGAGCTGGTTAATAAAGAAAAGGAAAAGAACAATGAATGTTTGAATGAAAGAGTGGAGAGATTTACTGTCATGTAAACCCTTCCAACCCAATGAATGAATTAACAATAAGGGAATGTAATTTCCTTATTGTTAATTATCCCAGCATCCAATTTTAAACTGGAATGCACATTGCAGCTCATTGTTTTCCCACTTAACAACTACTTCACTTAGCAATAGAGTTGCAGGCTCCAGTTGTAGTCATTAAACAAGGATTATCCGTATTGCTCTGGATTGGGAAAATAATAAAACAATAGCCATATCTTGAGAATGGTATGAAAAAATAACAGAATAACAGAATTGGAAGGGACCTTGGAGGTCTTCTAGTCCAACCCCCTGATCAAGCAGGAAATCCTATACCTTTCCTGACAAATGGTTGTCCAGTCTCTTCTTAAAAGCCTTCACTGACAGAGCACCCACAACTTCTCAAGTTCAACTGATTGAATGATTGATTGATTTAATTCTGAGACTGCAAACCTTTATAACACAAGACAAGAGCTAAAAACAAAAGAGAATAATTGAGGAAACTCAAGTATTGGGGTCTAATTGAAGGGAGTCCTCTCTTGGTTGTTGGTTATTATGTTTGGTTGCCATGTTATATTTTAGATATTGAGTATGTTTTTTAAAACTACATACTTGTTTTTGTTTGTTTGTAGTTATTTATTTTGTTGTATGCCACATTGAGCTTCTATGTATTCAGTGGTAAAATATTGCAGATTTCAGCATGAATGCTCTACTCTGCTACTTCTATAGAAATAGAGGGGTTATTCTTTTGCTGCAGTTGCCTTCCTCAGAAGAAATTGAAAACTGAACAGAATTCCTAAGTCGAAGTTTGTGATTTAAGCCAAGCCAAAACAGAAAACAAAAAAACACATGATCACAATCTGAACAAATAAACAAATGATTTTTTTCTCTCTCCATTTTTCAGTATGGGATGTTGCTATACCAAAACTATAGAATTCCACAACAGAGAAACAATCTGCTTCCTCACTTTGCCACTCCTGTGGTAAGTTAATTTAAGTACAGAGATTATTTGTCTAATATATAAGCAGGAGTTCAAGTGCCTTTTTCTCATTGAATGATAGAAACTAGTTTTTAACTATCCAGTCCTGAAATTCCCTCCACCATTTTTTTCTCACCTTTGGCAATTTTAAGGATGTGTGGACTTCAGAATGTGTAGACTTCAGTTCCCAGTATTCCTCAGCCAGCATGAAATTGAAGTTCACTTATTGTAACCTTGCCAAGATTGAGAAACACTTATAGAATCAGAATGATAATCTTGTTACATCATAAGGAAACCAAAGAAGTAAAAAAGAATATCACAAATCAGTAAAATTAAATAATATGTAAAGTACACTAAAGAATGGGATTACAGTGCAAATACAATTTGCCTAACTACTCCTAACTTATATACCCAATAAATGAGATCACTAGATGTTCTACTCTGCTATTTATCTCAGAATGTTATTGTCTTTCTTTTCAGAGAGTGATTAGAACAGAGTTTCACTTCAGTGTTTTTGGCTTGGAAATTTTGGGAATTGAAGTCCATATAACTAAGTCCTGAGGTTGAGAAACACTATTCTATTCTTTGTCTTGTAGGATTTATTTTAATTAAGTTGGAGAACTGTTCTGAATTACAGGGTCCCAACATACCCCACCATGATATGCTGTTTGGGTCATTGAGAACCAGTTTCCCTACCCATGGTTTAATGTCTGCTTGATTTATTTAATCAAATTTTCATTTGATTGAGTGATAGCAGTCATATCATCAGTTATTATATATATTCTGCCCAGGTGTTATTTTTCTAGGATTTCAGTTTTTATTTTATTTTTATTTTAATGATGCTTTAAAAAAATCTTTCAGAGAAGTGTTTCTGAAAATTCCTTAGTAGCAATGGATTTTTCTGGACAAATAGGAAGAGTGATTGAAAATCCAGAAGAAGCTCAGTGTGCAGCCTTGGAAGAAGGCCATGCATGGAGGGTAAGATGTTGCATTCTGCTTTGTCGATTGGTAAACCTTTATAAACATATATGTGAAACAATCACAGGTTAGAAGAGCACTTCATTATTGTTTTAATCTCTTAAAATATCTCTTGTATCTTGGATTGTAAACAGCTCCAAGTCATGTGAATGCAAAAAGTTAGAGAACAAATTTAATATAAAATGTAGTTATCAGCTATGGGACAGGTGCTGTGGTTATGTCTTTAAAGAAATTTGAAATGTGATTGAAGAAAGACATGATTTTCTATGTCACTGTTAATGTTCTTCAAATCTCCATTAGTAATGGGAAGGTAATGACATTTCCGGGTGTGATTCCTGTGATGTGAGAATGTTAATTGGGAAAACCATTACACTCCTTTGGGTGGCATTTTACACATGCCTTTCATTCAAAGTTTTCATGTTAAGAAGATGAACATGGGCTGAATCTACTATCTAAGGAAGAGATGTCAGGCTATGCCTGCTTCATGCATTAACTGAATGAAGAGGCAATGGATATAAATAGGTACAGATAATCTTTCATTGATCATATTATTGAGAGGCTTTTTTTTTTCAATCTACCTACCACATCTCCATTCTTAGATAGTGAATATCTAATGCTCTGGTTCTTGGCTTATTAGTGAAACAAGAGGAAGTTCTTGTGTATGGAAGAAAATTATTGTTATTGTCCTGACTTTTTATGTATTTATTTTTGATCAATTCAAAGCAGAAATATACCTTATACTTTTTCTTCTATTTTCCCTACAACAACAATCTTGTGAGTTGGGTTGGTTGAGAGAGAGTGATTGGCTCAGGCCTAGAACTGGTTTCTGGGCCAGCACATTTTTATCATTAAGCCAAACTGACTCATTAATTAATTAATTAATTAATTAATTAATTAATTAATAATGTAATCTTATATACCAATATAGTTACTTTATATGTTATATATAAAATATAAACTTATATATAAATTGCCTCTTATACACTGTTTTTCCTATAAATGATTGCAGAATTACCATTTTCACTATTCATACCAATGGATATTCAAAATAGTATTATTTGCTTTCTATGAATTGGTTTTATCCTGCCTTTCTACTAGAGAGAATGTATGTTTGTATTCAACATCCCACTCCAGTGAGTTCCATAGCTTTGTACCTGGGTTTCTTTTTCCTTTTAATGGAACCAGGTCAAACTTTGTGCTTTTCGCTCCATACAGCTGCTAATGCTTAATAATTGTATGCTTTGTTCTGCAGAAACGTAGCACAAGAATGAACATTTTGGGGAATCAAAGCCTACTTCATCCTTCCTTGCTGAGCACAAGTAAGAAGAATGGCAACTGCTAAGTTTAGGCTTTTTATTTTGATGTAAAAGTTGAGCCACTGCAGTTTGATTTCACATTTAACTTGATTCAGAGCAATAATTGTTCTATTTAAGTCAGACAGTTCATCTTTCTTATTTGCTTCCAACTCCCCCTCAAAAAGAGTTCTGGCTTACAAATTCAAGGACAGATCTTGTGAAGAGAATTTGTTCTTAAAATGGGGACTACTTGCACAATAAATGACTTTTCTCCTTTTAGGGCTTTGGGTCCTGGTGGGGTTGATTACTAAACAGGTTTTATTCTGTTTAGTAATACATAGTACTTTGTATTTTGTGTGTGTGTATAATGTTAATGGTTCTTAAAATTTTAAGTTTATGGACAGAAAAAAATGGAGTAATTCATCATGCTGGCTTATGGTTATGTAGTAAGTATCAGAAAAATGTTACTTCATTTTTTTAAATTTTTTTTTACATAGGCACATTTATTTATAAGAATAATGTATCTGGTGTATCTGATATCTATAATTTACATAATTATTTGTTCTGCTGAAACTTATACTTTCTGGCTTATGATTTGTAGCTTGATCAGATTCAACAGATATAGATACAGAGACCTTCCCTATGTGGAAGTATTTCTGAGTTTATTTCATGTCATTTTAGAGAAGCCTGTGTTATATCCCATTTTTATTACAGTGGTAAAACTGCAGACAGACTAGATAAATAAATAAAACAAATCAATGGAGATGTTCAAGACTCCATTTATATTAAAGAAAATTAATATTAGTGCTTGGGCCATATCCGGAGGATCTAGTTCACGACTCGGCGGAAAATCAGGCGGCGGCCTGGGAAGTAGCCGCTGCCACAGCACTGGACCAAGTCGTGCCTTTGCGGCCTCTGACCCGGCGCAGATCTCAACTGGCCCCTTGGTTTACGGAGGAGCTGAGAGAGATGAAGCGCCGGAAAAGACGCCTAGAGAGCAGTTGGAGGGCTAGCCGAACCGAATCCGACCGAACACAGGTAAGGATGCATGTTAGATCCTACCTAGTGGCGATGAGGGTGGCTAGATCTAATTACTATTCCACACTCATCGCGTCATCAGATAACCGCCCGGCTGCCCTCTTCAGGGTGACCCGCTCTCTCCTCCAGCTGAGGGAGGGAGGGGATCCCCTGGAGGGGAGGGCCGAGGACTTTGCGCAATATCTGTATGACAAAGTCACTCGGATCTGAGAAGGCCTTGACTCTGACTGGGTGGCCCCGGGGGAGGAGACGGGAGCAGGTCTTGAGACTGTTGTATGGGAGGAGTTTGACTCTGTGGCTCCCGAGGACGTGGACAGGATCCTGGGGAGGCTGAATGCAACCACATGTTTACTGGATCCGTGCCCCTCCTGGCTGGTACTGGCGGCTCGGGAGGGTAC